CTGAGATGGCACTTGGCGAGAGTATCCACAGGCTTTATATTGGGCTACAGAGCCCTGCCGCAAAGCACTTCTCTCTTGCTTATTTATAGAAGCAATTCTTTCAGCTGTATTAGCAACCTGACACCTAAAAAAGAGATTTCTATTGCCTGCTTTGATTGATTTAAGAGTCTGAGAAAGAGAGGTCAAGCAACTTGCCTGAGAATAAATGACAAAGTCAAAGACTGGAGGATTTTGCCTGGTGGGTTTGGATTGCCTCGTGTTGATGACGGCTAGTTCTCTGACAGCCAAGGTAGGAAGGCATGCTCACACTCTCAGGCCTCGCTCATTTATCACGTGCCCGGTACTTGGCTGGGCACTTCCTGGGAGGCACCGAAGAAAGGAGGAACTGACGCAGTTATGAAGGGAGATGCTGGGACTCTGGGAACACGGTAGCAGCAAAGCATCACTAGTCGCCTTTGCTGTCTAGCCCCTAAAAACTGGAAACATCAATCAAGGGACTTCAGGGGCAAAATGGGGTGCTCTGTGATTGCAATGAGTAAAAACCAGAAGCAGATGCAATTAATTCTGCAGAGCCTCCTTCTTCCCCCCACAAACACCTTCAAAACAAGCTCTACGTCTGCTTAGTGCTTTCCAATTCACCAAGTGTTTTCATAACATTATCTCATTTCATTCTCACATCAACCCACACACATTCTTGCCTTTCAGATTTCTTATGTACTCAAATGAGTTTCACTGAAAAATTGGCTAGAAACTCCCTTTCTCCTACTCAGTTAAAAAAAAAAAAAAAGAAAAGAAAAAAAAACCCAAGCCTTTGAACGATATCTTTAAGAAGGTCCCAGACTCCCAGGTGGGAACTCGGTTTATTCTGCCATCCCTACTCTATGTGGACAAATACTTGCAATCCTGTTCTTTGCTATTGGAACCAACACATTTGTGTTCAGTTCCTAGTTAAGCTGCTGAAACACACAAAACCACAGAGGCCATGGTAAATGTGGCATTGCAGGGGAAACACAGGTTTTGCAATCAGCAAACCTTAGAATCAAATTTTGGTCCAGCCATTTGGAGCCACGTGGAAACGTACAGCCAAGTTATTTAAATTCTCAGAGCTTCTATTTTCACACCTATAAAGTGGGGGTAACACTGCCTGTGTCTAAGGCTGTCATGAGGTATGATTGTAATAACAGATTTGAGTGTACTTCAGCAAGTGTTGTCCCTCTTTTTCTGTTTTCCTCCCCAAGGTAAACAGCTACTTATAAAGTCCCTTCTAGCTAACCTAAGGACCAACTTCATCAGTACCAGGTGAATGAAATGCTATATTGTCTTTGTGTAAGTGAGAAGGAAATAAACTATGAGAACATGTTGGTAAATAAATTTAGATAGAGACTTTAAAAAAAAACTAGATGAGTAATTAGCTATATGTTTTGCATACATTGCACAGTTGCAACTGAGGTAACTAATGAAATCGTAAACTCATTGCCTTTAGTCTTGGAAAAATGTTTTTTATTTTAGGTGAGAGAGAGGAGCTGGGAAATGGGACCTAGGTAATATTGGAAAGCAAAGCAATTCTGATTACACCTGGATTTTTATTGAAGCAGAATTGTAATTCAACACTTTAGTGCCTGAAGACAAAGGTGGGAGGAGGGAGGGAGTACATGAAGCTGACTGGGAGTTCAGCTCACAGATATGCATATATTAGTTGCTCAGTAAATGCTGGTGATGGGCCGAGATGGTATGGAGAGCCCAGATCTTGTGTTTGACCTTTGCTGCTGACTTTTTGGCAAGTGGAGTGCAAGATGTAGTGTTAGAGTGGAAAGAACATTTGACCGGCAATCCCAAAGCCTGTGTTCAGGTTCCATCTAACCACTTAATAGCCTGGTGACCTTAAACATGCCATTTAATCTCTTAAGTGTCTTCTCACCTGTAAAATGAGGAGACTGGACTAGGTGATTTAGAAGGTCTCTTTCTGCTCTAAGGTTCTGGGGCTGTAAGTAACCTCGTTCACTTGTCTTTCTGTTTCTTCATTTATTCAAGGGCAGTAGGGATACAAATCTCTCATGGAGTATTGAAAAGAAGTATCAGCATGCATGTTCAAATACCTTTTTAGAGATATGAAAGAAATGCAGTGACCCCAAGCAATATAAAGAGTGGGAAATGTGCCTACAACCAAAGTTCCAGGCCCAGCCCAACCTTTCTAACAATGTGATCTTTGGCAAGCTGCCTAATTTATTCAGCCTCAGTTTGCATACCTGTAAACTGGGGACTGTAAGTTGTGTGATGTTAATATTACCGCCTTCTTTAGAAAGCCAAGATCATGACAATGCTTTGAAAAACTGCAAGGCATTAGATGAAGTAGTATCATTGAGAACTGGCACCCTCATTATTTATGCTGGTGGCAAAGGTTAGCACAATGCCTCCCGTGCTTTCAAACAGATGAGGATGAATGTGTTCCCACGGTCCCTGAGACAGAAAATGTAGATCTGGAATCAAGCAAAGTCTTGTTCTCTACTCTAACTCACTAACAGAGGTGAAATTTAGCTCAAATGGGCATTAATACAAAGTTTCCTAAAGAACAGGCAGCAGGGAATTATCTCCATGTTCTCAGAGTTGGGAATTTTTCCAGAGTTCAGATAACTGCTGGTAGAGTCCTGAGTACCTTTTGACACTAAACGTGCAGGGTGGGATAGAGGGGTGCAGAGATAGCTTGCTGAGCTTGAAAGTTTCACAAGGCCGTGATCCTATGTATGTAAAGTCTGTCTGTGTACGTCAAAGTGGCCTGGCAGTCTTGGGCCTTGCCAGGGATAGCAACTGGGAAGAAATGGCAGAAGGCTTTAGTCCTGGTGTTCAAGGAACTACTAGCTTGGACAACTGTCCTCTGAGCACCTTGTAAAGTCCCAGACTGGAAAACAGCTCTCCAAACACTGGCTTTTCCTTTACTACTTAGACATCAGACCCAGCCAGAGACCTTGAGAAGCTCCCTCACTCTGTGAAAAAGGCACAAATAATCCCTCTGCTGGTGGTAACCCCAATCTGGAGTGTCTCCCATTAGATCATGTCCAAAAAAGTATGGTCTCCCATCAGGACACTATCTCCAGAGAGAGGAATGGAAGTGGTATTTTGCAGCACGAATCAATTTCTGGTTTAATTTGGCAGGTGAGGAAAGGCTCCTGTTTTTCTGTTTCAAGGAGAGCTAGGGACTTTGTCATGAAGTTGCATTTTCATAGGTTGTATATATGAATGACTGAGGGACCAGCAGTTGGCTTAATGGCATAGTCGCTGGACTCCCATGTAGTTGACTGCGGGTCGAGTCCCAGACCCAGTGGCTTAAACTAACACTGGGCGCATGTGCGTGCATGCCCAAGATCCCGAGGAGAGAATGGAGGAGAAGGGATTGCAGAGTGGCCATCCCCATCCCCCCTGGTGGGTGATTTCTCGCTTTCTATCTGTCTGTTTCTGTCTTTCTGGTGATTGCTCTGGCCCTTTAGCAAAAAAAAAAAAAAAAAAAAAAAAACTCTCAAAAAAAAAATAAAAGGAGGAGGAGGAAGAGGAGAAGAAAGAAAGAAGCAAAGTTATTTCAAATTAAATTCTTATCAATTCTTCCTAGTTATATTTGTTTGGGCTGTGTTTGGGAGGGAGAGGCTGATGAAAATTATGATAGTCTCCTCTCCCAGCCTCCTCAGGGCCCTGCCTCTGTTAAACCCTCACCATTAACCCATCATCGCTTTTAACTGAGATATGCTCATGAATTTTCTCTTTTAAACACTTATACATGGATTCAACACATTCACTGCCTTACTTTCAAAGAGATGATGGACTTCAAAGCATATTTAATTTTGTTCAGTTTTTCGTAGGCTCCCTCTGCTCTCCCCCAGCCCCTGTATACAAACGTCAGGGTTATAAAGCAGTTTTATAGGAGTCATTGAAGCAGAGGACACAGAGGGGTAAGCGCTGGGTGCCGGGTCAGACTCCCCTCATCCTGGCTCTGCAGGCTGCGCAGCTTGACCGCCTAGACCGACCGCCTGGACTGCCCGCCTGGACAGAGCCCTTGAGCTGAAATTCCTGGGCAGTGTGGGAGGCGTTAGGTACAAGCTCTTTGTTCTGCTATCAAAGAGCGACTCCTTGGAGCAGATCTGGGAGCCAAAGCTTGTGGGGTTTGCTTGCGTTGCCGCCCACTCACAACCCCTACCCTGGCTGCTGGCTGTGTACAGTGGAAAAACCCTAGGTCGACACTACATCCTTTCTCCTCAAAACGAAACCTTCCACAGATCTCAGGGCTGTAGACCAGTCCATTGCAAGCCAACGCTCCCCCCCGCCCCCCCGGACACACACACACAACCGCTCCCCACCTCCCCGCCGCCTCGTCGCGCACTCGGTCCCTTCAGCTCTGCATCTCTCCCACCTTCCTACTGCTGCTTTTCAGCAGGGTTAGCCAGGAACAGAAGAAACGAACCTCGGACGCCGCGACTGCGGTGCCGCGGGCGAGGATTCCAGGGAAGGCCCGGTTTGGGGTATGAACACTAAAAAGGGGCCCCAAGGTGCGAACTGGGGCCCGCAGCGAGTGGGTGCAAAGGAGGGCGCCCGTGCCGGGCGCCCAAGGTGGAGGAAGGGCGCCCTCCCCCGGCGCAGCGCCGCAGCGGAGCTGTCACGTCCGGAGCCGGCGCAGCTCCCTCCTCACGCCCACCTCAGCCGCCTAGAAGTTCCCGGGAATGTGCGTAGGGACTCGGCTGCCGACGCCGGCGGTTTTGCTAACTGGAAGCAGCGTTGACATTGAACTCCAGCCCGGATGCGTGCGTCTGTGAAAGTCGCGGGGAAGGGGCCGGGCTAGGAGCTGCTAAAACCCACCGCCCTCGGGGAGCAGAGCGCAGCGCGCCCCCGAGCTGCCGCCTGCCGGAGCTGCGAGCACCTAAGCCATTCATGATTTTGGTGACGTTATTCCAGGGGTGGGCGAGAGAGGGCGGGTCCTCTCTGGCCAAGCCCCGCCCCCGCCCCTATAAATACGACTTCCCAGGCTCTTTGTGGGGCTGGGAGCTCGGTGGAGAGTGGTGAGCTCCGTCTGCTCTGCCGACGCTGCTGGCAGTGGGGCTGTCTCGGGAAGGCGGACCCGTGAACGTCCAGTACCTGCACTCGCCGTCTGCCGCGCCCATCTGCGCCCCTGTCATCCTCATTAGGGACGCAGTGACCGTTTTTAAATTATAAGGGCGTGGGTCAGCCTCCCCTAGGACTTCATGTCTGTATATTTCCCCATTCACTGGTGAGTATCCTGCGCCCACGGCGGGCGTCGGTCTCGCAGCGGTGGCTGCGGGGCCCGGGAGCCTGCTGGTGCCGGCCTCGGGTGCAAGGGCAGCCGGTGGGTCCGGCGCCCGTCGGTTACCCGTCAGCTCAGCCCATGCGAGAGTCAACGTCAAGGTTGCAAAGGTGGGGGTGGGGGGAGGTGGTGCTGAGAGCATCCAGACAAAGGAAGTGAACTCGGATCCCTCACTTAAGCGATGGCTGGAGCGGGTATACGTGGTGGGAGGAGGAAGGAGGAGAGCCAGGGGTCATGCCTGAGCCCCCTAGTGAAATTCCCTATGCGGAGGGCTGCAGGAGGCGCGCGCCCTGCCTGGTGCTAGGGGCTTCTGCTCTCCTCGGGCCCCTCCCCTTTTTCTTTTTGTTTGCATGCAAGTCTCGGCGTCGAGGCCGGCTGCAGAGGGGCTGAGCTGGCAGCCAGGGCGCTTGCAGATCTTTCAGGGGTGAGGGAAAGTGCTCTCCCCAAGCGAAATCCTACCGAAGCCACAAATCGCAGGGCATACGCTGCATCCTCTACCCCTGCCCTCTCCATACCCTTTAAAGACCAAAGTGCCTTTGTGGGGGGCCGTGGCTGGCATAGGAGTCGCCTTCGCTGTGCAGAGCTGGAAGGAGTCCAGGCCAGGCGGGGGGCGGCGGAGGTTTGCCCCCAGCCGGGGATCTGTGCCGGGAGGGATACGGAGAGGGGTCCCCGGCTGCAGGGACTTGCGCGTCGGCTGCTGCTTCCTTCCTGCACTGGGGTAGAGGAGGAGTGTCTCCCGGGCACGCTCTCAGGTGCTGGCGTGGAGAGTCCCGACCCGGGTCGGAGACTCGAGACGAATGAGGGGAAAGAGCGGGCCCACGCTTCGGCGCTGTTGTGCCGAGCCCGGGAACCGGAAAGTTGCTCTGGCTTCAACTTTTCGGGCGCGCCACAGCCCCTAGCGAGGATAGAGCGCCCCTGTGCGGGGCGAAGATCCTGAGGAGGACTCTGTGAGCGTTCTTCTGGCCCATTTCTTTGGGGGGTCTGCTACAGGCTTTCCACGACCCAGGAGGTCACTGGTTTTGGAGGTCTTGATTCCTAAACTAGCCTGAAGCCTAGCAGCTTCTCTAAATCTCCTCTCCCCATCCCAGCCTGACCCTGTTTAGAGGGGGTTTCTGAACTCTCAGAACAACCTAGAAATCCCCAGCCCGAGACTTGTGTATTCTTCTCCTTCTAGGGGTCCTCAGGGTGGGGAGAAGCCAGGTCACACTTACGGTGAGGCTCTGAAGGCTGAAGTCTTTGTGCCTCTGGCCGGTCAAAATTTGCCAAGGTGCGTGTTAGGGCAAACTGAGATATTATTCCCTGAGAAATAAATGAAAGCTTAGGGTTGTTTATTTATTTTAGGTTGTTTATTGTTTAGTTCTTCACAGTTTACATTATATCCCAGACAGCCCTGAACATAACTGTGAGACATGCGGTATTAGCATCATAGCAACAAACAGGGCACCTGTGGCTCAGAGGCGTTGTATCGCAGGATTCGTTGAAGATCACACAGCTCTTGAGTGGCAGAGCCCAGACCACAACCTATTGCTTTTTTTCCAAGTCCAATGCCATTTCTACTCTATGCAGTAACCCTAAAATAAAGAATCTTGTCCTGTTTCCGTAGACGCAGTCCCTCGAAAGCCTGCCCCCACTTTTTTTTCTTTTCTTTTTTTTAAACCATGTGCAAAGACACAGTGGTGAAAATATTGGGTGTTGTGCCGGGAGTGCCTGGATTTGGTAAATACATTTAGCATCATGTGTGTGGGGTCCTGTGTGTGCCCATGGCTTGTGAGGGATAATGGAACTTTTGTACCCTGCTTAGAGAGTACAAAGCACTTTCACATGTCAGCCATTGGTGGGCCAGCTCAGCCCCTCTGGAAATTTCCTTTGCAATCAGAGTCCCAGTATCCTTAAGGCTTTTAATCCAGGGGATGTTTTTCAAGCTGTGAGCTTGCAGCTGCCGTGGCTGGAGCTATAGAAGGGGGTTGGATGACAGATGTGAAGCTTGCAGAAAAGCTGACCCCTTGGGGCTTTAAGTGGGACATTTTGCCAAAAGGCTCACCAGAAAGAGAAATTTAGGAAGGCAGCATGTTGAATTTAATTTTTCTGAGGTTGACCTGTTATTGTTATTATGTAATAATAATATGCAGTTCCCCTTTGGAAAATTCACACGAGGATTATTTTTTTTTCCCCTCACTGGAGAAGTGAAGAAAGACCTGATAGAATTGGTTTTAATATGGGCAGATGGACCTAGCTCCCTACTGTTTTTTTTTTTTTCTCTAGTTCTGTCATTTGAAAAAATCTGGGGTGTCTCTGTGCCAGTGGGGACTGGCATACCGGAGAGGAGGTTTGCAGACAACGGGCTTTGTTGGTCGGGTGGAGTGCCCTGATGTTGTAGGTTTGCAAGACGCTTCCTTGGCATGAGCTTATTTTTCTGTGAGTTCTGCTATGAATACCTTTCATCCTGTCTACTGACAGTCCCCTGGTCTCACAGCAGCGAATGCGCTGAGAGTAGGAATGTGAAAGTGCGTGTGTTTGTTGACTTTGGGTCTGGGTTTCTTGGCAGCCCTGACTATCTGAGATCGGCTGAGATGACTGAGGTGATGATGAACACCCCATCCATGGAGGAGATTGGCCTCAACCCCCGAAAGGATGGGCTTTCCTATCAGGTGAGTTACGTGAAGGGTTCCCTCACATTCTATAGAGCCTAGTGGCTTTTGCTGGGTCTGGAGACAGAGTTGGTTTTGTATCCTATCACCACTTATAAGAGCTGTGTGACCTCCAGAAAGTCTCCTAATGCCAGCAAGCCTCAGTTTCTTCATCTGTAAATTGGGCAACAAGAGTCCTTACCTCATAGATTGTGCTGAGGATTTCAACATGATGAGGGGAGCTGTGATCATAGTGCCACACAAAGGCTCACACACAAAGATTCAGCAAATGTTAGCCATTGCTGTGAACTGCCGTCCTCTCTCTGTGAGCTCTCCCATTCACAGCAGCAAAGGAGGAAGTGATTTGTACTGTCAGTTCAGATCAGAACTTCCCTTCCCAGCTTGCCTTGGGCAGTAGAAATATTGCTGTGAAAGGTAGCTCATGGGGAAGGATGGTCTGGTGGGAGAGTAGTGTGTCAAAGGCTAATGACTGACCAGCTGGTTCAGAGTTAATATTCAGACTACGTAGACTTGAAGAGATGATAGATTCCCAAAGGGAAAGGGAAGCTATCTCCGGGATACTGTTGCTGGAATATAGCTTAGCAATCATCTTGTATGGTGGATCCAAAATGCATAAAGACTGCAAAAAGAGACCACAGTGACACCTTTGGACTCTTACCCCAATGCTCCTCTGGCCTACCAGGTTGCTTTTTTACTGTCCCCACTGAGTGACAGAGTTAACTCTAGGACAGTGAACTGGTTTTGGATTTTTAAGGATAGTTCCTAGATTGTTTAATTAAGGAGAGGGAGGAGCCTGTTTTTAAGGGAAAGTCTTGGGCCTAGGGCTGTGTAAGGACTCCGATGGGGTGGGTGTGTTGGGTTCATGCAGTAGTGAGTTGCATGCCAACCATAGGCGACTCCTTTACAGACCTTACCTTACTCCTAGCTTCAGGGTGGGAATTCTCATCATGTTTTACAGCTGAGGAAACAGGCTTGGCCTGAGTGGTAACTTGGGTCTCTCTAACCGGAGTTTTTTTCCTCTGATATACTGTATTTGTACCTTGACTAGGCTCTGGCTAGAGTCTAGACTTACTCTGGCTGGTCATTCCTTAGAACTGTTCCAGAAGTATTTATTTTGTAAAGAAAAAAAATATATAGAAAGCTGAGGTGTATGCAATGTGGGGAGGGTGATCAAAGAGGACCAAGATGAAAGGTAAGATTGGGTAACATAACTTCAAACATGCTCAGGAGGTTCAAGGAGGCCCCTGTGTTTTGTGTCAATATAATCAGGCCCCTCTTGTAGGCTGGAAAAAAAGTGCAGACCCCTTATCTGAAGTCTTACCACCTGCAGCTTGTTACCCAAGGTCAACTGTGGTCTGAAAATAGGTGAGCATAGAATAATATAATAATATATTTTAAGAGAGAGACATATCACATGTACATCATTTTTATTAAAGTATATTATAATTGTTGTAGTTTATTATTACTCATTGTTAATTTCTTACTGTGTCTAAACATAGTATATGTAGGGTTTGGTACCCTCTGCAGTTTCAGACACCCACTGGGGAGTCTTGGACTGTGGATAAAGGAGGGACTGAATTCTGTATTCAGTTAACCTGTATTCATAGGAGCCAAAGGGGAATACATTTTCCTAGGCTGGTTTATACCTCCCTTCCCTAAAGTGGTTTTGAGGAAGATAACTGAGGGCCCACAGTCTGGAGGGAGGGGTAAAAGTTTCCTGGCCCACCAGCCAGGGTGTTTTGTATACCAGTTTCCAAGCCACTGAGTCAGACTGAACCTCCTTGTGGTTATAGGTGAGGTTTTCTTTCAGTTCTGGGTTTTAGATTTCCATCACAGAATCTTTCCAAACTCAATCATCAGTACGCCTTGTGTGTACTTTTTAAACATGTCCCAGGATACAGGGCTGGGCCTCACGGGGCAGTGTTCTAAACCCTTTGAGTTCCTCCTGCCATTTTGCTGGGTCTGCTGCAGCAAGTGACAATGGAGGAAAAGGGCTGCTATGCTCCACGAGGAAGGCTGGGCTGGGGCTACTGCGTCGGGAGGAAAATAAAATCACCTCTGGGCTCCTGAGGTAAATCACACTGCCTAAGGAAAGGCTTCTCAAGTCTTCCCTCAGGTGGTGGACTGAGGTCCACTTCTCATAGCCCTGCAGGAAACCTGCCCCTGCTGTCTGAGTGGGGACCATCGACCAGCTCCAAATTATTTCACCTGGAACTTTGAAGCACTCTTACGTCACAAGATGATTTCAGAAAGGTCTCTTGTTTGCTTGATGAAGAAGGAGGCGGCTCATGGTATTTAACCAAGCAACAGTTATTGGGCACTTTCTGTGTGCAATCTGTGGAGCTGGGCAGGACTCATGGATGTCCAAGAACATCGAACAGAGACAGTCCGAGCAGTCTGGGTACGAGCACTAAAGAAGCTGCATTCAGTTCAGGAAGGGACAACAATAATGGAATCTGGTGGAATCTGAGAAGGTTTAGAAAAGGGATGTCAGACTAGGCCTGGGCTTTGAAAAAAAATTAGGACTTTGAGAAGGCAACTCTATGTTCTAGTTAATTGTGTTACTTCTTCAGATACCCTGTGGCTCATCCCTGGTTATGCCAGGTGGGGGTTCTGCAGTGAGCTGGTCTGATAATTGTCCCATAACAAATATTTTCTAGGCCCACTCAAAGCTGGTGCCAGCCAATGGAACACATTCCCACCAGAGCTGTGGAGATTGACTGGGGCTGGCTCTTGGCCAGACCAGTCCTCTGTGTATGCTTGGGCTCGGCTTGCAGCTGGGGGCGGGGGAACTCAAAGCTCTGTTTTTGGCCTTACTCCTGAGGATAATAATAGTACATGGCTTTTACCAAGACCTGCTTTTCCAAGGAACTGAGAGTGGAAAGGAGACATCAATCCTGACTTGGCAGACAAAATAGAATCCTAGGCTTGTAATTTAACCTTGGAACAAAGTCATCAAATAAATGGCACATTGGACTTTGTCAATCATCGTTCTCCCATCTTCCAGACCTACCATGAATGAAGCTTTCTTGATTTCTCTGTCCTAGGTGTGACCTTTCTTTACATGTCCTAGGTGTGACATTTTATACGTTTCAGTGATGTCACTCAAGGCTTCAAGGATTCAGGTCCTGCCTTACCTATTGACCAGGTCCTGAGGCAGAGGATGACTTATTATCTTTGTACCCTTCAGCCATCAGCCCTCCCCCACCCAAGGTGGTACCTGCTGCACCTGGCGCCTTTCCAGAGCAGGTGCTAAGTGGACAATGGTTGTCTCAATGAAGATGAGTCTCCTGTTCCTGGCCACCTTCACTTCTGCCTGAGCCTCTTTAAAGGGCCTGCCTGTCAAGCTTCAGATCGATGCCCTATTTATCCCCTGAAAGATTCAGGCAAGCCCTGTCTGTTGTCCCTAGGCAGTCAGTGCTGTTTTGGGAGCATGTATAAAAATCGACAGAGCCAGTGCTTTCTTCTGTCTTAACATTTATTTGGAGAGTCAATTCCGTAAGTAAAATCTATGTCTGCATATCCTCTTGGCATGAATTATGACTCTCCGTGGGGTGGGTGAGTAAACTGTTACTAGAAGGTCTGAGTACATTTCTGGTGGGCTGTGGGTGGAAGCCTACTGCCTGAGCTGAGTAGGAGGGTCTCCAGGAGGACATTACTGTTTCTAACAGCTGCAGCTCTTTCCCCCATGCTGCATCTGTGAGTCTCAGAATTGCCTTGTAATTCCTTCTTCCTTCCCTAAGTTGAAGAAGCAAGTCAGTAGCTACCTGCTGGGACCTGCTTCTACCTTGGCTCTGGGACTATTACACTCACTGGGTCCTCTGCCATGTTGCATCCCACTTAGCCTAGACGCTGCATGGGAATAGGTCCTTGAAGCTCATGGCAAGCCAAGAGGCACTAGGCTTCTGGCCTGGATGCCCAGCTCCCCTCCAGCACAGCATGCTGAGGCTGCTACAGTTTGACCTGCCCTTGCTAAGGTAAGTTCAGACACAACACCTTGGTTTTCATTTAGAACTATCCCTTCTAAACACGTGGGGCAAGATCTTGTCACTTTATCCTTCCCTAGACTCTTTAAATTCCTCTCTAATCAGTGCATCTCCCTCTGGCTGCCCTTTATGCTCCTTCTGCTATTATTCTTGGTCACATACTCTTGCCATTTGAGGTCCATCCATCAGCCAGGCTTTCCTCCTCAGGGAAGCAGAGAGGATGCTCTGAACCAGGAGGAGCGATTTCCTCACACCACAGTGCTCTGTGCCCTGTGCAGACCTCATGCCCTCTGATTTAGAGCCGAGAGCCTCCTGCATCTTCCCCTTTGTTTCTGAAGATAGGAGGGGGTGATAGCCTTGTGCTGTATGTGGTAGGGAGGAGGGACAGCAATGGACTGACCTCTCTTGCCTTAGCCCTATCATTGGCTTCTTGCAGTTCTCCAGTTTCAATTGTAGCTCTGCATTGAGGAGAGTTCTAAAGGTCTCATAGGGGCTGAGAACCAGGACACTTGGGTCTCAGGCCCGGTAACAGTGAATTCCATCCTTGTCTCCTCCTCAGTCCTTATCAGAAGTAGCAGGAGCAGGTTCAGTTGAACCCCTAAAGCCAGGCAATGAGTCAGAAATACTTACCTTTTATTCACATCTGCGCTGAGCCTTTCTTTATGAAGCCCTGCTGAGCCTGGCCTCGAGATGCCAGTTTTACCTGTATAAGATACCAGTGTTGAAGTAAGTGATGGGCTAAGCCCTCAAGAAGGTTTCTGTTCTGTGTCCCACTTCTGTCCCCACAAGACCATTCTTGGCATAGCTTATCAACTACATTGGTCTCCTCCCTCTCTTCACACCCCTTGGTTCCTTTGTTACTCCCATTTGGAGTACCCTACATGTCCCCAGGAGTTACTCTGCTGAGCAACCGCACGCTAGTCCCATGGTCATTAGGAAAACATCTTTCACAACATCAGACTTAAAAAGCCTCAGTTGTCCCTGGGGAGACATAAAGCTAAAATTCCAAAACAC